CTATTCGTCATGCATCTGCTGATGCACGATAAAGTGCCATTGGGTTTTCTGATGGCTTCGTCACACTGCCGACTCATGTTCATCTCGGAGTCCACTAGGACACCAACATCCCTTTCTGCTTCTGTGCCACCCAGCAGGTCATTCCCTAGGCGGTAGGTATGCTGGACATTTCTCCTCCCTAGGTGCAGCACTTTGCACTTCTCCTTGTTGAATTGCATTCTGTTGTTTTCTGCCCACTTGTCCAACCTGTCCAGGTCTGCTTGCAGCTGTTCCCTGCCCTCCGGCGTGTCCACTTCTCCCCACCAACATCCCTTTCTGCTTCTGTGCCACCCAGCAGGTCATTCCCTAGGCGGTAGGTATGCTGGACATTTCTCCTCCCTAGGTGCAGCACTTTGCACTTCTCCTTGTTGAATTGCATTCTGTTGTTTTCTGCCCACTTGTCCAACCTGTCCAGGTCTGCTTGCAGCTGTTCCCTGCCCTCCGGCGTGTCCACTTCTCCCCACAGCTTTGTGTTATCCGCAAACTTGGACAGAGTACACTTCACTCCCTCGTCCAAGTCGCTGATGAAGACATTGAAGAGTATCGGTTCAAGGACCGAGCCCTGTGGGACCCCACTGCCCACACCCTTCCAGGCCGATACCAACCCATCCATTTATCTGTGGGGGTCAACTCTGGGAATGGGGATCCGGGTGGACACTGACAGGGCCGAACCCTCAGCTGTGGAGATGAAGGGCATCCCAGGAAGGGAAACCTTGCCCCACTGGTGTTGATTTCTCCCTGCCATTGCTGTTTCTCTGGCCCCCAATGCTGGAGCGGTCGTCCTGGCCTGGCCATAAAGCACTGGGACTTTGTTGGAGGCACAAGCACTGTGTTCAGATCCAGGTAGAGCCCTGCACAGCTGACAAAGCACAAGGCTGCTTTGTACCCCATTATCAAAGCGCTGGGCTGTGCATTGATCTCTGTTTGCTGCAGTTTATGAGGACTATTGAAGTATTTGCCCTATTGCAATGCTAATGATAAGACATGACCAAGCCTTGAGAGCTGGGATCTGTCCAGAGTTTCCTCCATATCTCTTGCACCTTCTCTGGTTAATGTTTGGCAAGTAGCGGTGAACACCAAGGGAACATGCAGGTAGGAAACATTTTGATGTCAGCTGCGTTTAGGCTGTCAGTTGTAAAACACATCTCACATCTGTGATGGGGATTTTTCCATACCTTTTTTCTATCGGGTGTTAGACTTCCAGAAAGAACAGTCCAGCCTAGGCTGATGATGAGTAGAACAGATACCCAGGTAAGCAGCAGAGGCCCGGGTAGTACTGGGATTAGGGGAGTGGTGCATGCATCTTCACAAGGCCTCAACTGCCTCTACACTAATGCTCATAGTATGGGGAACAAGCAGGAGGAACTCGCCCTCCAGCTAGCTGACACCAACCCAGACATAGTGGGGCTCACATAAACGTGGTGGGACCCAACGCACGACTGGGCGGTGAATATCAAGGGCTATAGGTTGTATAGGAGGGATAGGACAGGGAGGAGCAGTGAGGGTGTGGTGCTCTGTGTCAAGGAGGAATACACATCCTCAATGAGCAGTGTATTCTGGGTCAGAGCAGGGGCACACTGAAGTGCTTTGGGTTAGAATACAAGGAAGCCAAGGGGAAAGGGACTTAACGGTGGGGGTCTACTACAGACCACCCAAACAAGGGGAAGAGTTAGACCGGGAATTCTCAGGTCAGCTCACGGAGGCAGTTAAGTCAAAGGATGTGGTCATTGTGGCGGGCCAGTAGGGGGCGCTCCTGCGTTGAGCCGCCCACCTCCCTGCTCCCGACCACCTTCCAGGCTCCGAGTGCCTCCCTGGGGTGCCTCCCGTCCGGCCGACCCCTTCCCTGGAGCACACCCGCTAGCCTGGGGTTCCCGCTGCCACCATCCAAGGCTCTGGACTCACTTCTGGCTCTGGGGTGCTCGACCACCTGGGCGACAGCAATCATCGCCTGCTGGGATTCACCATCCAGCACAAGGAGGCAAAGCCCTGCAGCAAGGCAGCAGCCCTGGACTTCAGCAGGGTGGGTTTCAATGAGGTAAGAACAGTTGGGGAAGTACCGAGGTCCCGGAAGGGAGAGGAGTTGCGTGTCTATGCCCGCCTCTGTTCTATTTGGCACTTTCTTGCAGCCCTGGCCTGAACTAGTGATCTTTTCTGTCCAAGGCCTGGGGTTGGATCCCAAAGGCTACCCTGGCTGACGTCCGGGGTTCCCCTTATCTCGCCTGCCACGACTTTGAATGTAACCTCAGTGAAGGGGTTCCCCCTTGAGGTAGCCTTCAGGGCTGTCACGCCGCATGGCGGGCACTCACAGGGCTCCAACCTCCCCTACACCCCAGCCATTCGCCACCTTCAATCATGGGTCTTCTGGCCCTCTAGCACACCGGTTCTTCTCTGGCTCTACCCTGGTCTCTCCTGGCTATCCGGCCATAAGCATCCAGTGGCCCAGGGTCTCAGCTCGAATGCATAGGCACCGAGGCCCTCTGTCCTAGCCTCGTCTATCCCTAGGCCCAGCTCCCTATCTTACCCACACCGTGGTAGCTGTGCACTCCCCACCACCGTGATTGCTGGAGCAAAGTGGGAACCAGCGGGCCAGGAGTTCCTCTGAACCGAGCAGCTGGTCCCACTCGGAGATCCTCCCTATGGTCGCCTCTCAGC